GAATCATCCACCGAAATACTATCGTTTAAATAAGCTAAATCAAGTCAAATTAAATTTGGTTTGGTTTTAAGTAACTTCTACTAGTTCAACTCAACTAATTAAGGGCTAAGAAGAGATTAACAATAATAAGAGAGATCTAGGGCTCGGGTTATACCACTCAACTTCATCACAAATCACAATTAGCATGCAACAATCAAGGTAAATTAGGGGGATAAATTAGGGAAAGTTATCTAAAGCACCCAACTACTCTCTTAAGCTAAATGGATTACTTGAATCATGAATACAAACCTAATCTCGTGGTTACAAAGCATAAAACAAGTATTAAAGCATAATCATGATGACATAAACATTCCCTTGAATGGAAATTCCTATTCTCATGGCATTTCAAGTCAATTAAGCGTAAGAGGGCTAACTCAAGTTCATCTCTCGATCCTTCGTTGAGAAAGCTTAGATAAATAGTTCTAGCAATGGCCATATACAAGAACTAAACAATGAAAACACTTAAGTTCAGCTAATTAACACCCCATAATAACCAAATTAGCATATGCTACAAGTTCTTTGTGACTACATTGAGGGTTTTACCCAAACCCTAGAAAATGGACTACTCACAATCCATGGAAATTAAAGCAATTAAAGATTTAAAGCAATTCATGAACAAATTCAAACTAAGAATTAAACTAATTAACAATCTAAGCATAAAAGAATCAAGAAAACAATTAGCAATTAAAGTAGAGAAGATAGAAGAAAAGAGTGAGAAATAGTTACTAGAAGCTTCAAATTTGAATAACAATGGTGGAATTTGTCTTCTAAAATGATTTGGGTTGAGATTTCCAAGCTAAGGATTAAAAACTAACTACTGATTTGAAGAGTTTTGGGAGTGCTAAGACTACAAACTAAGAGGAAAGCTCTAAAAACTTGGATCCCCGTATAAAAGAACCCCCGAAACTATTTATAATACCCCAATTACATAGTAAACTTTGCAAAAGAAAAGTCACAGGAGCTATCGGGCACAGCCGCGCCAAGGCCTGGACAGGCCGCTCCAAAGGACTGGAGAGGCCGCTCCAAGGCTTGGAGAGGTCGCGCCTTGCTGAGTAAAAATGGGGCAGGAACTCCGCAGCAGGGTAGAGAGGTCGCTCCCTAGTTGGAGAGGTCGCGCACCTATGTTGGAGAGGCCCCACACCTATGTTGGAGAGGCCGCTCCTCACTAATTTCTTGAATTTGCCTAAGGGAGGCAACAGTTACAACAACAAGGTAGAGAGGCCTCTCCACTGACCTGGAGAGGCTGCGTTATGTGGAGAGGCCGCACCTCCTAGTTTCTTCACTTTGCAAAATAGAGGCAGAAACTTCTGTTTGGGTCAGGAGAGGCCTCTCCACTGACCTGGAGAGGCCGCTCTTGAGCAGCGGCCACGCCACTCTTTGGAGAGGTCACGCCACTGGTATCTTCCCTTTATCTTTGTTTGGACTCATTTTCCTTGTCTTCTTTCCATCATCATCTTACTTTCAACTTCGGTTTACCATCCATAGGCTTCAATGGTCGTCTTTAGACCTAAAATCTCAACAAAAACACTAACAACCCGTGAAGCATAGGATATAAAATATTGCACAAAAGTAGAGTAAAGGTGAACCAAAGCACCAATTTATCAAGTAATCAAGGTTCAATAACAACCTAAAATCATATCAAATAACAATTTATCAAATCCTCTAAGCCAAGCTATTGCTCGTCCCCGAGCAATCATGACAAATGTGAAATGTGACAACTTGCTACAACCAAATCCAAGGAAGAGGAACAAGAAGAGAAGAGGCAAGCACAAAAATACGGCTCATATTGATCGCTATCACTTTTAGCATGAGTGAGAAGCCATTTAAACCCACAAGTCGCCTTATAGGACGAGTTGTTCTCTCATGAGGGTTTCCAGTGAGCTGAACCCACAACTCACACAATCCACCACAAGGTCATCAAAGACCATACACATGAATCATTTTTTATTTATTTATTTGTCCAAGTCAACTCATCGGGATATGAAACACAAGAAAGACTATAGAGTAACTTTCAATCATGAAAAACAAATCAATGCACACATGAGTTAAGGGGTAAATAAAGAAATTAAGCAAGATTGTACTGGGACACTTATTTAAGCTTTTTACTAATTCATTAGAGCATATCTAGTTATTTCAAAGTTTTAACAAGCTCTCTTTCGGTTATAAAATTGCAAAATACAAGTCCACCTCCCAAGATGCGCATAGACACCTCGTAACTACACTCTATTTCGAGACTTTTACAATACATAAGTAAAAAGAGAAAGTGTGGCAACCACAAATTGACTTATTAAGAGAAAGAATATTTTTGGGAATTTTCGGGACTTTTTCTTCTTTGATTTTTTTTCCCTTCATTTCATTTTTCTCTTTATTTTTCTTTTTTCATTTCAATGCTCTGGCCTCTTTAACTGTGAGCGACTATTTCTTTTATTGATAACTTGTGGCTTATTATGCCACTTATTTCATACATTACACACATAAACAAGTCTCTAATAAAGCTTTGTTTCAAGGAGAGTGGAAAACACATCAAGGGCACATGGGACCGCAAATTATCTCAAACATATCTTACTTTGAGCAAGTTAGACATTGTCTTAGACTAGATGTGCAATTGAGCATTCATCGGCTTTTATTTCATATACACAAATGCAATCAAGGTTAGTAGATTTCTAAATGACCCCAACTCTTGCATACACATTTTAAAAAACTAATTACTCATCACTCAAGGAAATCACATAAGAATCGTCATTTGAGTTTCATCCTTGGGCAATTTTTTCATTTTTCAATTTTTTTTTTACTATATTCACAAAGCTACAAACCAAATAAAAAGAGAATTAGATAGAATTTATAAGGTAAGAGTTTGGATTTCACAAGGAGCTAATTTGGATTAATGGCTTTGGATATTAGGGAAATGAAACAACCAAAACATATGCAATCAAAACAAACCAACATGTCAAGAAGGCATGCAAATGACTCCCCCCCAAGCTATCATAAACATTGTCCTCAATGTTAATCAATAGAAGCACATAAAAAGGGGGAGAAAGAAGACTAACTCGAGGATCGGTTCTTCTTTGAAGCTTGAACCTCCTTGGTACCTTTGTTCTTGTTGGTTGTTGTTGGAAGACATGCACTTTGTGTGTTTTTTTTTTTTTTTTTTTTTTTTTTTTTTTTCTAAAAGTTAATCCACTACAAAAATACTCGGGTTGCCTCCAAAAAGCGCTTCTTTAATGTCACTAGCTTGACGACATTGCGCTATCCATGATTAGGGTGGGTCAAGGCACACCTTTTTGACCCACCTCATTGTTCCCACACACTTGTCCTTTTTTAAGGCAAAATAACCTTATTGCTAAAATCATCACTAGAAATACAACTGTAGGCATTGTTCGAAGCGCGCCTACTTAAGAAGGATGTGAATATGCTTGGCAATCATAGGAAATGGGAATTAACATTATACGATTAGAAACAAGGAAAGTAGGGAGCCGCCAACAAGTTTTTAAGGAACTTATAAACCGTTCACGGATCATTTAAGGCAATAATAGGCAGCAACGATTGACCCGTGAAGGTTACACCCCATTCATAATCCATGAGATTACTAACTCCATATGGTTCGTGATTTGGGGATTTTTACCCCCGCCACGTAGACAAATAAGAGCGTGACACGTGTTACCTTAGAAGGAGTCCAAGTGAACCTCTTAAGACTTGACATGTGGCATGCAAATATTCATCAGAGAATGACGGCCTTCAGGGCCCAATTCCCGAGAAAGCCGTAAAGTGGCGTAACCCACCAAATCTAGGTCAGACTAACCTAGGTAAGGCACATTTACCAATGACCCTATAAATAGGGGGATTTACCCCATTTTGGGGACACGTTCATTTATTACAACACAATTAATTCTCTCACATCAGAGAAAACACCTGATCTCAGGATTCGAGAAGATCTACTTTCCGCACTTTTTACCTTACTTCGACCGGTTCTTAATCGTCGGAGGCGGAACTCCTACCAACAGGAGCTTCCGTTGTTTTGCAGGTACATCCAGCAGGGAATCCAGTCTTGGTGACGTAACTATCCCGTAGGACATAAAAAACCTCGAAACATTTGGCGCCGTCTGTGGGGAGTGTACCTCTAAGATGGTTTCTCAAGAGACTGTACCGCCTCCTATAGAAAAGCAACCTACGGCTGAGGTCTTTTCAAACCATGATATGGATGAAGATCTAAAGGTCGAAACATATACGGCCGCAGATGGATCCCTCATTACCAGGCGCATCCGTTCTAAAGACAACAAGGAGTGGGGCGATGGTCAGGCGGGTTCGAGTAAGTCATCCGGCCAACCCCAGGCGGCAGGACAGTCTGCTCACATCACCCGAGATGAGTTCATGAAATTCATGACAAGTTTGTAGTGTTTTATTTGTCCACTTATCATGGTATTTTTGACACAATTTTGTAGTTATTTTCCCCTCTTTTATCCCTTTTATCCCCTTTAGTGCATGATTATAGCTTTTGGCTTCCCCAATCTTTTTTATGAGTGTGTTCATGTTTGTAGATGCAATGATAAATTGATTATATAGCATAAGCATGAAGACCTACATTCACTAGACGAAAAAGGTAAAAAGGCACCAGTTCAAACCCCCCCTTGGCACCGGTTTTGAACCGTTGGGGATTTGAGGGATGCCAAATCCATGAAAATTTGGCACCGGTTCAAAACCAGTGCCAACTACCATGGCACGATTGTTTTTTTTATTTTCAATACTATTGGCACCGGTTCAAAGCAAGAAACGGTGCGAAAAACCCCACTTTAGGCACCGGTTCTTTCTTTGAACCGGTGCCAAAAGTCTCAAAAAAAATTTTAAAAAAACTTTTGGCACCGGTTCTGGTCCAAACCGGTGCCAAAAATACCCTAAAAAAATTTTAAAAAAAATAAAATTTTTTGCATTTTTTTTACTTAAATTGATATATAAACACTAACATATATATAAAGTTACATATTTTCATTAAAAAAGTCTGTAATATTACAACTTTCGTCCAAAAAAAATTAAATAATCCAGACTGCTCTGCTGTTTCTGTTCTGCTGCGCTGTTGTAGTACTGAAATTAAAGCCTTTGATAGCTTCTCCATTAGTGCGAGATGCATGAAGCTGTTTCCTAACCTGAGTTGCTAGTGACTGCATTAACATAAAAGTAATTAGATACTCAAATACGATTTTGGGAGGAATGAGAGAGAAGAAATCAGCTTAAAACTTTAGACTCTAAAAAAAGGAACAAAGAAAACGGAAGATCTCACAAAGTTTACTCCTGAAATTGCCAATTCAATGGCCTCCCTAATAAGTGTCATATACAAGCAAATTACCTTTCCTAGCTCATCTCCCCATTGGTCAAAAGAATTAATACCCCATACGAAACCTTCAACTGCAATTCTGTGCTCATAGATGGCCAGCAACTGCAAGATAAATAACAGCTAAATCATGATATTATATAACATTTATGCTTAAAATATCCTACTGGATCAACAATTAACAAACTGATCACAACATTATCCAAGCTGTCCAACATCACAACAAAAAATAAAAAAAAAATAATAATTAGAAAGAGGTAAGGTCATCAAACCTGTCCAACATTATATGCAGTCAGAGATGGAAGTAAAAGGCTTAGAGAAGGACGGTTTCCAGTGAAGGTCTGTAAGGGAAGAATGGCAATCAATTATGAAAAGATAGTGTCACAACCTCAAAAGATTATAGAAACATGAACAGAAAATTCACCTTGTGCGGGACAAGATGTGGAGATACGTTCTCCTTCTGCAACTCTTCTTGAGTCTAAAGAAACAGAACAATTAGCTACCCAACCATTTCCACAATTGAACAGTGTGGCAAATTTTTTTAAGGCAAGAGAGCAGAAGATAATTGATGTAATTTTTACAATACTTTGTACAAAAAGAAAACAATAACACTTGATCTATAAATGACACAACTTCAATAAAATCTATGACAATTTACTAAAAATCATTTCAAGTAAAATCAGTAATAAATATAACAAGTACAATCCTTGAGAGAAGATATAAAGTTTGATAAGGAGTTATAGAAAGTATGGCCAAAAGTGGATCTAATTCCCAATGTAAAATAAAAACCAACCTTCCCATAAGCTAGTGCATCTGGCTGTACAAAGAAGTTAGACATGAGCTCATCATGATTACTCACTACTTCACCTGAAATATATAAGCTACCATCAATAAAGGTAAAAGTCACAACATAATAATACATTCAATAATTAAATGGAATGAAAAGCTCATTGACACAATTAAAATCTGATATGGAGTTCGGTACCTTTGAGATATACAGGTTGCTGACTTTTTGCAATTCCTATAAAATCACAGGGGATAATACGTCCCTGAAGTAACAAAACCAGAAGTATCAAAGACATTGCTATTATGGTACTTATATGCTTATCTATGAACTCTCTTAACTAGAAGTCTAAAAGTCAATTAAAAAATATAAGAGCAAGAAAGCAGAAGAAATTCAATAAGCAGAGCAGAGTGAGAAAGTAAAACCATCAGCAAGGAAAGTTTTAATTGTTGGAACACAAAATAAAGAAAAAAGTCAATTATAATGTCTTAATGAACATCTTCATACCTAATAACTAAAATTGCCCCCTAAAACCTTAAAAGCTTTTCATTTTGGTTTGACACATATTATGAATAGTTGCAAAATGTAAATAAAATATTTTTGGTGGTAGATAGAAATTAAAAAGAAAATAGTACAACAAAGTTTTGATATGGGCTGACCAACCAAACAAGAATCCAAAAATACCCCTCTTTGCCATATGGGTATTCATAAAACATTGATACAGAAGTATACTAAAGGCACAGGAAGCAAAACCTTTTTTCCTGGATGCTGCTGGTTTTAAGTGTAGCACCAATGCATGTTTTCCCAGAATTTATAGAATTAATCAGGATACTAAGGATGCCCGTAGGAAAGTTTGATTACAATGTGTTTTGATTTGGTAATTTAAATCAATATGCAGAAAGAGTGAAATACAGTGTGATTCAAATTCTATTTGCCCAGACCTTTGTTTGGAGAATCATGAACAGTATATGACCAGATAAAGGCTCAAGTATATTAGAAGAAACAAAAAATATCAAACTAGGGAAATCTTTTTTTGTCATATTCAGACTCCAGTAGGTTAACAAGAACAAAGATTGGTTTTAAATAGTCAAATAGCAATTTAGCACCAAAAACAGATATCTTACCTGAGCCTCTAAAGATTTACCATCCTTGAAACCAGCTTTTCCAGTCCCAGCTAAGGTAGTGACTCGTTTATTTGATGGATTTAGCCTCTTGATCTGAATATGAGATGTCAAACTTTAGTTCTGTAACTCTATTAAATAACTATATTTATTAAAACTTAATTTGAAGTCTCCTGTTGTTAGGAGACTTGATTGGAAATGGAAACATAAGAAACGTCACTTAAAATTATAAATCCTGAACTTCATTCTGAAGCAACTGCTACCATTTTTCAGAAAACTGATTGCAGGCTAAAGAACAATACTTGAGATATTGTAATAAATTCTACAGAACAGTGTTCTTTGGTGGCATTGAGGTGCATGCAGTTGGAATCTTGGAACTATAAGATGACCACATTTACTTTTATCCACATTTCACTAGTATTAAAATAGCTCGTATCCACATTTTGTCAAATAATGCTCAACACAAAATTATCAGACACCCATGATCTCTTAAGGATAATTAGTTCTACTAGTGGCAAAGTTAAATGCATCCAATACAAGTTCTACATCTAAAAACTGAACTCTGAAGCACAAATTGTCAAACCAGAAAGACAACAGAAAACTGAACAATTAGACTAAGTTAGGTAGTTTTCTAGTAGTAAAAGACCTACCACAGAATACTAACAATGTCATTAGAAATTAGATTCACCATATGTTAGTTCATATGAACCTCTATCACCTTAAGGCCTACTTTTTATGAATTAAATGGCACATAATGCATAAGAATAGTCTAAACAAACAACTAACAATCCCATTTATACATGGCAAGTGAATGCAGCAAATGGTACCTTTTGTTCTGCCATATCCTTGGCAATTTATTTAGCCCTCCATTCATCAGCTTCTCGGTCAAGTTTCTTGAATTGCTCCTCCTCCTGTGAACCATTAAGAAAATCAGTTAACATAAACATACTCCAAAACTTGTAATTCAGGTAAATAGCCTGATATCAGCAATAGAAAGCAACCTTAGCAAGTGATTCAGCAACACGACGTCTCTTCCTCTTCCTCCACAACTTATTGCGTTTTGACTTGTTAATTTTGTCACTCAATCTAACAACAGCAGATTTCTCCTCCCATGGGGTCCCATCATTAGTAACAAACTTGAGAGGTTCAAGCAGAAACCGCAATTTTGACATTAACCCATTTGCAGCCTGCATTAAAATCAACTCTTGGGCACCCAAATCAATCCTATTATCCTCAAAAAACCTACAAAAGTCATCAATTTTTGAACTATCAATTGACCCATCAACACCATCATCATCATTATCACTCCCCTTCCCCACACACCCTTTTACTTCCTTAACCTTCATCAACATATCCAGCTCTTTTTTCCTACTATAAATAACCCACAAAACAAAAACAAAAAAGACCCAATTAAGTTATTACAACTTTTTCAGCATTTTCTCAACAGAAATTAAGGAAATTAGAACTAACACAAATAATTAGCGAAATTGATATTCATTGATTAAAAAACATTACCTCAGAAGTTGTTTCAATGGAGGAGAAAGCTCAGAACTGCTACAATATAACGCAAAGCTAAATAACCCAGAAACCCTAACCTCGAATTTCTGATTTTTGGTTCGCAATTGATTCGAAATTGTTGTTGTTGAAGACGCACGCACATCGAATTGATTCAAAATAGACGCACCCAGAAACCCTAACCTCCAATATCGTAGAAAGAGAGAAGGAGAAGGAGAAGGAGATCGAAAGAGAGAAGAAAGGAAAGGGAAAGTGGCGATTATGGAGAAGGAGATCGAAGGAGTGTTAGGAAAGTTCTGAGAGAAAGCTCAGAAGCCCCTTCAATGGAGAAATTCGAGTACGCTTCAATGGAGGAGAGAGAGAGGCAGATCAGATGAGAAGAGGAAAGATCGAGGAAATGAAAGCAAGAGAAAGAAAGAGTATGGGAAATGAAATGAAAACGAAGAAGACCCGGTTTTTTTTTTTTCAAAAATGGACCGGTGCTAATTAACATAGTTGGCACCGGTTTAAGGCGAACTGGTGACAACTCTATGCCATACTTATTTATTTTTATTTTTTTTTATAAGTTGGCATCGGTCTGAACTGGTGCTAATTAAATGATTGGCACCGGTTTTGGTTGGAACCGGTGCCAACACTGAATTTTTCAATCCTGCCCATTTCTTTTGGCACCGGTTTTCAAGAACTGGTGCTAAAGGGGGGGGGGTGCCTATTTCATTTTTTCTACTAGTGATTGGAAGCAAAGCACAAGAGGAGAGGGCACTCCTACCCCAAGCGCCACAATCTGCCTCCCTCTATTCCCAGCCAGGAGCGGGCATGCACTAGTCAAGGAGCGGACGCTCCTCCCTGAGTTCCAACAATCTGCCTTCTTTGCTGTAGCTAAGAGCGGGCACGCAAGAGTAGCCGGAGCGGGCGCTCCAGGCCTAGGAGCGGGCGCTCTTGCATAGACCCGGTTTTCTTAACGGAATTTTCTATGTGACTTTGGGGAGTATAAAAGCGATCCTTGGTTTTTATTTTAGGGACCTTCTTCTTCTTCCTTTTTAGTCTTCTTACGCCCTTAGTTAGCTAAAAAAAAAAACTCTCATTAATTAGCTTAGTTTCTCTCAATTTCAATCATTGAATTAGTTTAATTGAAGTTTGTACTCTCAATTTCAACACTTTCTCAACTTTGAAGCTTCATTAGTAATTTCTTCCTCTATCTCTTGCTCTTTATTTTCAGTTTTTAATTGTTTTGAATTGTTAATTTCCTTCTTAATCTTCCTTAATTGTTGTTGCATGTTCAATCTACCTTGTTCTTACTACTTTTCTCAACTTGTTAGATTTATGTTAAACTTAGATATTGTTGTTAGATTGTTCTTCGCCATGAATTGTGAGTAGTCTATTTTCTAGGGGTTGGGTAAAACCCTCAATGTAATCACAAAGAATTTGTTGCATGTGCTAATTTTGTAATTATTGGGTGTTAATTAGTTAAGCTTAAGTGGTTTAATTGCTTAGTTCTTGTATATGGCCATTGCTAGAACTATTTATCCAAGCTTTCTCAACGAAGGATCGAGAGATGAACTTGAGTTAGCTCCCTTATGCTTAATTAACTTGAAATTCCATGAGAATAGGAATTTCCGGTCAAGGGAATTTTAATGTCATCGTGATTATGCTTTAACACTTGTTTTATGCTTTGTAACCACGAGAGTAGGTTATATTCATGACTCAAGTAATCCCTCTAGCTGGAGAGAGTAGTAGGGTGCCATAGATGACTTCCCCTAATTTATCCCCTTAATTTACCTTGATGAATGCATGCTAATTGTGATTTGTGATGAATTTGAGTGGTATAACCCAAGCCCTAGATTCCCCTAAATATTGTTAATCTCCTCTTAGCTTTAGTTGAATTGAACTAGTAGAAGTTACTCAAGACCAAACCAATTTCGACTTCATTTAGCTTATTTAAACGGTAGTACTCGGTGGTTGATTCAACGCCTCTCTTGGGTTCGACCCTTACTTACCCTTGCTTTTAGTTAGTGAGACCAAGATAGGATTAATTATTTTGGTAGGCTCGACGACGACCTATCAGTTCCGCTTCCCCGAGACGGGGAAGAGGAACGCCATCCGGCATACACAGCCGGATGGCAGCAAGAGACTATTGCTGATGCTCGACTTATTATTGAGCAAAGGAAAAACCAGCAACTGTCTTACTCGGCTTCAACGTCGACTTTCCCAAACATCTTCAAGAATACCTTAATGAGGTATTCTCAATCTACACAGGAGAGCCTGTCAGGTGGCCCGTCCGTCTATACAGGTCCTTAAATGATAGGCTTGGTCCCTATGTGCCCCAGAAACCATACAGGCTATTTGCCTAGCCTTACTAGCAGCCTGCCCTCTCCGGGGGTCAGGCGGCATATAAAGTCCAGCCACTGGACTGGCAGCTCTTTCTTATAAAACTTGGAGAACAACCTTCTGCGTTCTCCAAGGAGATAACCGAGGCGGCACAGCCGGCCATGGTTAAGAATGTCATGGTGGGTACTTATGATGGTACCACCAACCCAGAAGACCACCTGTTGGCATACACCCACCTCATGTATTTGCAGGGGTTGGATGATGCCGCATGGTGCAAGTGTTTCCCAGCCACGCTGAAGGGCATTACTCAACAGTGGTTCGACAATTTGTCGGCTGGGTGCATCAACAATTTTAGGATGCTTGCGTTCTTGTTTGCCTCAAACTTGTCTATGAACATAACCGTAAAAAAGACAAGCCTTGACTTGGGCGCGGTACAACAGGGAGACAGGGAGGGGCTCTGTTCTTAAGTCAGGCGGTTCAATTTGGTGAGAATCCAGATACAAGGAGTGTCTAACGATGTTGCTTACACAGACTTCTTCAGGGGTCTAAAAGTCGGGTTGACTTTTAAGTTCGACCTCGTCCGGAAGAGAATCTCAACTCTTCAAGAGGCGCTGATGGAGGCGGAAGCCTATATACAGGTGACAGAGCTCTGCTCCACCAGCAAGCAGTCGGACTCAAAAAAGTTTTACAAACAAAAAGGGAGTCGGCAAGAACAGCTGGCTCAAAAAGCTGAAGAGAGCAAGAAGAGAAAAGAGATCTAGGTGGTTGACGATTCTAATCAGCCATCCCAGAAGAAAAAGAAAGAGTATAAACCGTACGTCTCAAGGTACGAGTTTAACAAGGACTGCTACTCCATCCTCATGGAGATAAAAGACCGGGTGACTATTGAGAAGCCCGCAGCCATGAAGGGTTCCGCCAAAAATCGGAACAAAGACAAGTACTGCCATTTCCATGAGGAAATTGGCCATGACACTAATGACTGCTACAGCCTCAAGCAATTATTGGACAGATTGGCTGATAAGGGGGTGTTGAAGTCTTACATTCTCAAGTCCAAGGTGACCTTGAAGACGGACCCCAAACAGTCGTAAAAAAAGTCAGCAAAGCCTACCAATAGTTCGGACACAGATAAAGAGCCGATCTACACCATAGCAGGTGGCTTTGATGGTGGGGGCCCAACTATCAGAGGCACCAAGGACCATGTCAGGCGGCTGGATGTCAGCTCGGTCGATGAGGGCCAGGCGCTTGCCGACACTTTTCCTATGGTCATCATCTCTGAGAAGGACCGGGGCGAAGTCTGCCGGCCACATGATGATCCCATTGTCATTGAATGCAAGGTGGCCAACCAAAGAGTTGATCGTATCCTTATTGATATCGGTAGTTCGTCTGACATCATCAATTGGAAGTGTGTGTCCAAGCTAAAGTACAATCTAGGAAGCAAGCACAAAGTTACTCACCCCTTGGTTGGTTTTGGGGGTGGAGTTGTGCACCCAGTCGGCCAAATTGATTTACCCATCCGGCTGGGAGAGAAGGGAGAGGGGCGCCATATGGTCGTCCGGTTCTTGGTCGTAGAAGAGCTGACCGCCTATAATCTCATTTTGGGCCGTCCGACTCTAAACGAATCCAAGGCCGTCATTATCCCATCCCTCATGCTGCTGAAGTTTGAAAGAGATGATGGTTCTGTTGGCTCCCTGAATGGAGACCAGAAGACGGCCCGAGAGTGTTATCTCTCAAACGTCAAGCCCACGGCAACATCAATCGGCCAGGGTGAAGAGCCAATAGATCTTGACGATGTCAAGGAACTAGGGCTTGCCCCACCAATAGTTGGCAAGAAAAGAAAGGTCGACCAGTTGGTCACTGTCAAAAAAGAGAAGCAATAGCAATCACTGACTGAGGAACGGTCAGATGAACTCCGTCCCTAGCCGGCTTTTGAGCACATTGATATTGCTCTGGATGACACACGTCCAGAGCGTACTGTTAAGGTGGGGACGGTTGCCTTTGCAAAGTTGGGGGCAAACTTGCACAATTTGCGGAAGGAATTCTAAGACATCTTTGTCTTTGAAATGGAAGAGATACTAGGCATCAGCCCGGATCTTGCTGTCCACAAACTCGTCGTGGATCCAAAGAAGAAGCCTTCACCTTACTGATCTCCGAGAAACCTTCACCACACTCACTGATGACATGATAGTTAAATCCAAGCTACAGACGGATCACCTTACTGATCTCTTAGAAACCTTCACCACACTCAGGCGCCACAAGGTCATGCTCAATCCCAAGAAGTATGTTTTTGGTGTTGAGTCTGGG